AAAAGCGTCAATGTATTATCTATTATCATTAACAAGTTCAGGGAATAAACATTAAAATGTGTTCCAGAAAATTACGACGAATTTTATTTTTTTATTTTGTAACTATTTAAATCAGTTATAGTGTTGTTATTTACAATAATTATTGTAAACATGCAAGTTATTCAAACAACATGTTGGTTAGTTCTCAAATGTCATATTTTGTAACAGAATGCTTTATTAGAGGTAGTGATCCACATATGTTTGAAAAGCACAATAACGGAGACAAATAATAATAGTTAAATCTATATGCAGCCTCATTGTTAGTAACATCGGAGAGTTATTTACTGAAATAATCTTTTTTTTTTCTTAGGAAATTGTTCAAGGTAATTGACTTTACAACTAACTACAACACAAAAGAATGGTTTATTGACTTTTAAGATCACATTTTGTACACAATCTCAGAACGGCTAATTGCTTTTGTTCTATATAAAAAAGGTCTTCTCGATAGGAGAATGCGCTAATAACCCCAGCTTCGTTTACTATAAAATGAGATTCCTAATGCTAGCGTTACCTAACCTTCAATTTGGCAAGAAATATGTTAAACAAGATCATCAAGGAAAGGCGGGCTGCGTTCTTTTGAATACAGACAATTAATGAAGAAGAAGAAGAAGAATTTTTATTTGCACTGAAGCCCTAAAACGAGCCATTGACAAAGCATCAATATATATACATACAAAAATAGAAACATGGCAATACGTGACAAGAAGTCGAGATGGCATGTGTATTCACGGGAAATATTTCTTTGGTAAATGGGAAAGTAGCTCATACACTTTAAGCTGTTCACTGTGTCATATAAAATTACCAAACCAAAGAGCTTCAGGAAACAATATTAAACGTGGTGGTTTCACATGACATCTCGCTTGGGAGAGGCAGAATAATGTTAATATTACAATACGACAAAACATATTAATTTCTATATAATAATAATATGGTTAACGAGGTTGGATGCTCCTAGATAATATGTTGATATCATTTAAGGATTTTGCTATTTCTTGGAAAAGGGCGCTATCCACAAATGATACATAGTGCTAAATATGATACATTCACCAACACATAAATGCCCCATCGAAAAACGAAAACGAAAATATATAGCATATGTTGGTGATCTGTACATATCAACGGCATTATAAACAGAAAGATTAGGAGTCTCCATCAACGGAACCATTTTTTAAAGGTATCTATGACTAGGTTATCATCAAAGTACTAAACATTATGCATACACCATAAATCATTTTGTTTGACCAAAAAGATTACAGTAGTCTTATAAAATGATATAGATATATCTATATATATTTTATCGAGTCACTGTTTTCATTTTAGATGAGTTAACCCTTGACAGAAAGGGTAAATATCAAAAGCCGGTTATACTATTTATAATGTAGAGCAATTTATTTTTACAAAACATTTTGTCTTAGTAAACATTAACCTAGAATTATGCTATTGATATATCTACATGTAAAATTGGCAAATCTACAGTGAATCGATCTGTTGCTGACGTTTAATAAAAGCATGATACGTGTAAATACTTAAATTACGAATATCTGTTACATTTTCTGTATTCATAAGAGAAATAAATTTTTAATTACTAGGATGCTTCCAATAGTATCTCTTGATATATTTTGTACGAAGTTCTTTAAACATATTACATACAAGTACAAAATGTTATTTATCTTCTAATTTATTACATATATGACATATTCGTTCATTAAAAGGAACACATTCTGGTTTTCTCCACCTTCCAGATTCTACAGCTAATCTATGAGATGACATGCGTAAACGTGCTTAAGCTATTCTGTACGTACGGATATTTATAACATCTAGATATCTACTAAAATTAAAACTAACTATTGTTCTAAAAAACAGTGCTCTTGTCGAGTCTTCTAATCTATTATTAAAATCAATCAGCCATATATTTTTTGTCCTTTGTTTTAATATCAATAAAAATAGTTATTTATTTTCAACACCTTGGTTTAACCATACATGTTCAAACCCTTGTTTTATTAGTAAGCTTTTAACATTAGTCACCCATTTAGTTACATTTGGTTCGTTAACTGTGTCATTCTTTAACATCAAATAAATATTTCTAATTTACTTTGATTCTGGACATGTACATATTTTTAACCCATATTTTATAACACTAACCATTCTATATGATATCAAACTTTGTCTACCAAGCTCGCCATATATAAAATAATTTTGGGTAGATGCTTTAACACTTAACAGTCTTTTACAAAAACTTAAATATGTTCTTTCTACATGTGGGGCTTTATAAAAAAAACCCATACCTCTGAGGAATACATTAAAATTGGCATAATTAACTTATCAGATAAACCAAGTGTATGTTTGGGTAATAAATCTGTAAATTTATATAAATATTTATTCATTTTGAAAATGTGAAAGTAACTTTTTAATTGATCAGCACCATTTATAAAAAAATTCATTTAAAAACATATCTGGTCCACTTGCCGTGTTACACTTTAACTGCTTTATAGCTTTGATAATTTCTGAGATTGTTATTTCTACATCTAATTCTTCAAACATAACTTGTATTTCGTTACTGAGAATCATATCGTTTAAATATAAAATATCATCATCAGCTTGATGAAAATGGCTATCTGGGTTATTAATTGCGCTAAAATAATTCGCAAATGTATCTACACTTATTTTGGGAGAGCTATTATTACATACAGATTCCTTAAGTAATTTCCAATAAAGTTTTGCATTTTTATATCTTGACTGTATAAACTTATCTGTATTTTCTTTTCTATGTAAATATTTTTTGCTTCTAATCATGTTTTTATATTCCTTTCTTGAATCAGCCATCAAGTTACGATTGTCATCTGTTTTATTTTTATTGTTAAGTTAACATTGTTATAAAACTGTTTCCGTTTTCTTGAACATTCGCCATCAAACCATGGTTTATCGGAGTTTTGTTTTGTATCCCTATTATCAAAAATACGCTTTAATGTGATGTTAAATGATAGTGTTATTATCAATTATTTGTACATTACAATAGAATGATTTTCAGAACTATTTTTAAATCAATCAAAATGACTAATATGTCTGAAAATTAGGTAAACTTTTCATTATCGGATCACATTTTATGTTCTTCTCAACATCATTGAAGAGCTCCTTAATTTGTAATTATGTCCAAACGCTGAATGCAGGTGTACACAATTAAAGCTTTCTGCCCCAACAAGTTTACATGGTGTATCTGGTGAATCTGGTGAGACATATAATCCATTGAGATTAATGGATGTACATGAGCCATACCACCAGCCTCCATGTCGATCAACAGCACAATTACGTGACCAAGCGGTATCTAGGTCACGGTCATAAGTGGTAAACGGCAGTAAATTATTGTGCGCTAGTCCTCCTAGTTTGTCTGAAAATGATAAATAATAATTTCACTGCATAAGGCCATATTTAGCTTGTTTTTGTACATTGACAGTTTTAGTAAGTCATATTGTTGTACATAGAAAGATAACGAGATTTAACAAAAACATTGAAACTTATTTTAACATCTGCAATCTGATTTTGTTTACAAGTGTTTAAGATCAATGCACATAGATAAATGTTAATGTCATATTACATAATAGGTAAGGGGAATATTGATTTATTTCAGGACTTTGTGCTGCGTAAGCAAAGCTTAAAATGATGGACTGAAATCTATAAATCAATTAAACTAATATGAAATCTGTATGTCAAAAGTATATGTGTTGAGTATATTTTATCATATAGTTGATAAGTACATTTTATCTTTCAAACTCTATCAACATTCGTATATAGTTGTGTTGTACCTGTGCTTAGGTCACGTAACCCAATATTGAGTTTATAGTTCCTTCCATCTATTAACTTAAATTCCTGAAAGGTCTCGTAAGCAGTGTCGTTGTTGTAATTTTCAATATCAACACGAACTTCTGAATGACTTTGGTCAGCTAATTCTTGTATGTACTTCAGGCCTATGATAAGTTAACAAGTGGTACATGAATTATTTACTATAAATTCAATCTCTAAAGAACTATCATGAAAATATCAACTTATCATGAAAAAAACAACTTAAAGTGAAACGAAATCAAATCATGTGACACTCACAAGAATCTCGCTATGAAATTTTTACTACCTATACATTATTAACGCAAACTGATACACGACGATCTTATTATATAAATAAGTTCACTTACTTAAATCAATGATACATAACAAAATGATATCTAAATGATAGCCTTCTAGATATAACAGTTATTTGTAAAATATCAAATGCAATATATTAATAGAAATTATATACATGCTTATAATCTGTATTCAAATCCAAGTCGTACACACTTTTGCATTGTCGTGAAATCTTGTTATTATTCACTTTTTTATCTTATATTATATCCATATCTTATATTAACATATCAGAATAAAGACATACAAACCAAAAAATTGTCAAATGTCAAAATTAACCGAATCGTCAAATTGAATGATAATAAATTATAAAACTGAAACATTTTAAAAGAAGGATATCTTGACACTCAAGATATTTTTGTTCAGATTGCTTTGACAACTTTAAGCCTTTCTTCGTATTTACGGTAGGCGAATACCGTAACAATGAAAAATGTTAGCCAATGATATTATGACGTACCAAAATGATGAAAGAATCATTGTATTACACTTATTTAAACTATAAATGTACAATATCATCGGTTAATACATTAATAAGCATTCCGTATGTTTTTTAGTGGGCCGGATATGACATCCCGCATACTCAAAGCCACCTGATATCTAGAAAGTCTTGCCCGCGAACCTGACAATCTATTGGAAGAAAATACATTTTATCCTTTGTTGTATTTCTTTCTTTCTGTTTTGGCATAGCTTGTCACCTTACGTACAACTGCCCGCGTACAATTAATGAAATTACATATACAATGGAATACCATAATTTGTTATGTCGTTTAGTTTAGCAAATGGTTACATTTATCTAAAATATAGATATTAAAGTGAACTGTAAATTAAACCTAGCCACAGTTCTCCTCCTGTGTTTCCAAACCCATTTTCGTATTCTGTGAAGTTTCGATAAAACTTAACAGACCCGTCAAAGCGCCTATGAAATATCTACAAAGAGTCAAAGGACAAAAGCATAGTGAGGTTAAAATAGATAAATGCACTTTAAGTTAATTCAAACTAAAGTGGTATAAAGTCACAAAACAACTTTCAGTTTTATCTTATACCTATGAGACGGAAACGGGGTGTTTCATAGAACTATTGAACTTTTTGATATCAAGCTTGATGGACTGTTCCGATTTTAGAAGTAAACTAAACCTAGCAGGAAAAGACCGGAATATTTAGCTCAAAGGTTGCCTGAGAGCTCGATATTCCTACTTGTGATGATAGCCGGCGTTTAATTATTCTTCCTGCATATTACAAATAAATAATATTCGAAAAGAAATTACGAAAACTAATATTTTCATTTAGCACTGTTTTCCTTTAGTAACGTATGCATTTACAACTTTCAAGTATGTGGAAAACAGAAAAGAAGGAAACAACTATGCTCCAACGATATTTGCTGAACAACCTTTACATAAGGTTCATACTTTACATACCGTCCAGCCGCCACCGTCAGTGTCCATGTCACAATTCACTATAAGTATCTTCCTAGACTGCCATAGTTCTATCTCATAAAAGCCACTTTCTGCTTCCGGGTATTCATCAAGAATTTCTTTACAGTCGCTCACTAAGCAATAATGATATAACAATAAATAAAACATAACCTAGCTTCTAATGAATTCACTGAGTTAACAATAATTCATTAAGCAATAAATATTGACAAATCCTGTGCGTTCATATTCCCTACTCACGGTAGGGAATCACGTGACTTTTACGGTTTCGCGTACAGACAATATAGCGGCCTATACCTTATTTTCCATCCCTGTGCTCATAGCTTTTACAAACACTCAAAAATTCAACAGGAATGTTCAATGTTGATAATTATTTTGCGGGTAACATTCACGCAAAATTTGTATTTTTTATGAATTTGAATTAACTACGTCGAGTTAGCAAAGAGAAAATGTTCATAGAAGTTCTTTATTTGAAAATGTAAATATTAGGCAGTTTAAATGTTGACTGGTCATTTTCAATTCCAATACACGAGAGAAAATATTTTATTTGGAAGCAATATCTATGCAGGTTATAGCCTAGATATTGATTTAACAAAATCATGATTGATGCAGTTAGCCCGAGACTTTCATAGAATTTTGAATAATATTAAAAATACCTCCAATAGGTCCCCAGCAGGCACATAAACGTTGAACAACATTGAATTATGTTCAGATTTTAACGTTGAAATAACGTTGGATTTATGTTCGGATTTGAAAGTTTAAACAACGTTGAAATTCAACGTTGGCACAACTTTGAAGTTTTAATGTCATTTCAACATACTTTAATTTTAATATAAAGCAAAGTGTTTAACAAAAAAATCAAGACACTATTAAATACTTCAGATATTTTATTTCAAAAATACAGTTCAAGTGCAGCTTAAATTCTAACGATTTAAGACGTCTTTTTAGCTGCAATTAAGCTACGTGCTGTTCCACTCTACTACTAGTACTTCTTCTAGATCTATCCTGGTATGTCTTAAGTGTTTCATGATGGTGTTTGAATACTTCGTTGGCTGTCTCTTACTGCTTCTGCAAATTAAATAAGAAGTTACTAATTAAAAGTGACATAGTCAATCTCATGGTCAATCTCAAATTATATATAAAATTAATCAACTTAGATTTAAATAATAAAACAGCATAGAAATTAAGATACAGCTGAAGTTTCATATTGACAGCAAATTATGTACATAAAACAACAAAAACTTTTTTAAAAGATGCTATTTAAAAGTATCACCTTGTATGATTGGTAAGAAGTACTTGCAGCATTTTCCCAAGTAATATTCATTCTAGGCTCTAGCTAAGACCATCGTATGCACCATCCTGAAAACAACAAATATGTATATTTTTTATTAATAATGTTACAAAGGTATTCTGAAAATAATATACATGTATCATTAAGAAAAGATAAGTGTCCAGTAGTTGCAATATTAATACTTTGTAAAGAAATATATATATTAAATATTAGAATTTCAATTTCAAACCTGGAGTCCTTTCCATGTTAAATGTATGGTATACAAGCTACAGCTGCAATACTCTCAATTTTAGCCAGGACCAGGATCTAGAATATAAAAATAGATTTATTATTCCCTATAAATTCACGGCAATTAAGCTTAAAATTTAACTCTCAACTTTGTTATTTTACCTCAAGAACAGTTTAATCAATATTTGTTTCGATAATGCAATGGATATTTTTCAAACTAATTCACACTTAATTTTAAAATCACTAAGATATAAATGCCGCTAGATTGACGATTCGTGGCAAGGACATCAATAACTTCGCGTAAGACCTACCAAACCCAGGTCGCGTTTTAAAACAAAAGTCTCAAATATTAGAAGGAGGTTTTGTATTTCTGTTTTAGTACAATTACAGTTGACATTTTTCATATTTTGCAGATATGAAAGTTTCCAGCTCGAATATTGATTGTGATAAATGTGGGAAACATTTCATTCACGGAATACCCACATCAGCACAGGACCTTATAAATGTTGTGGTAAAACATTTATAGCCCAGTAAATCGGAAACGTTTTACTGTTAATATTAAGATAACATTCAAACATAATATTACCTAGTTTGTAAAATAAAAGACCCAATATAATATTCTTTAGTTGTTTTTTTTTTTTTTTTTTTTTTGCTTTAGATTAAAAAAAATACATAATTATGTTATATACGAGGGTCGTCCCAAAAGTTCGAGACAAATTTTATAGACGGTTCATTTTTAACGCCAATAGATAATAATTCACACATATAACCGTTAAGGTTATTATTTAACATAACAGCAAATCATTTACAAAATATTTACTCTAGTTACTTAGAAATTTTCAGAATTAACGACATTGGATTGAGTTGCCGGCGCACGTCAAATAATTTGCATGTTGTTATGAATAGGCTAAAATTAATTACGTATACTTCAAATATCTGATGATGTGTCTGCACAATGCCACGAACAGGCTACGAATAAATGAAAATATCTCATAGAAAATAGGAAAGTTAAAATGGCGACGTTCGAAGAATTTGCGGCGCAGTGAACAGGTCATTTAGGTTTCGTGACTATTTCGAGATAACATACGTTACGATTCTCAACAAATATAACAAATAGAACAGTTTAGCAGCATATCCTGAGCATTTATTTACTAAAGGAATAAACGGAACCAGAGTTCTGTACTACAAAAAGCGAAAACAAGGAAAGCATGAATAGATAGACCGATCTCCGTCGCCTATTTCCTACAGCTAAAAGACCGGATGTTCGCGTGTAGCAAAAAGTAATGTATGCCATCCAAATATTCAACAGACTTTATCAACAACATGATTTAAGTCTGTAATTGACGATTTATAGGTAAAGCTGCACAATTATTGCGTTGAAAGACATTGAGAGTATTTGAGAAAGGCGCCCTATAAAGATTAAACGCCGTCTTTGACGTTTGACGTGCGCTGCGTTTCAAATAGTTGTCATGGTATTTAGGCATATGTTTGTTGTTTGTTGATATTTTTCTATGTAAGTTTGTGAAAATGTTTAAATTATATGGGGTTATAACATATTACAATATCAAATTCGTACATATGTTAGTTAGCTTTTAAACAATCTTGTCACAGAATATTGGGACAACCCTCGTACAGACACTAATTTTAAAAATAATTGGTTACATAAAAGACTAAGTGATAAAATGATGTGAATTTCTTTAAACAGTGAAATGCCATACAAGTGACAGTTCGATTTGCAACAACATTTACAGGGTCCTGTGCCGAGTAGCCAGTTATTGTGGTCATTAAGACCTGTCCGTGAACGAAATGTTTTCCAACATTATCCACAAACAATATCCGAGCTGTAACCGTCCATATCTGCAAACTATGAAAAATGACAACTGTAATTGTGCTTAAACTGAAATCGACCTCCTTATATTTGAGACTTTTATTTTAATTTCTGCGATTAATTCATATATAACTCTAATCCGAAACTTCATTTAATATATTTACGTGAGTATGTATTCTGCTACCCATAGGCGCATAATTCTATCATGGACCTTTTGGCGGTAGTTTTAATATTATTCAAAATTCTATGAACGTTTAACTTAAAGGCTAAATGCATCAATCATGATTTCGTTCAATCAATATCTAGGCTATAGCCTGCATAGATATTGCTTGCACATAAAATATTGCATGGGAGTTATCAACAATAAAAGTACGTGTGTCCGTATCATTTTTCTCTCGTGTATTGGAATAGAAAATGACTAGTCAACATTTAACATGCCTAATATTAACATTTTCAAATAAAGAAATTATATGAACATTTTCTCTTAGCTAACTCGACGTAGTTTAATCAAATTCATAAAAAATACAAATTTTGCGTGAATGTTACCCGCAAAATAATTGTCAACATTGAAAATTCCTGTTAAATTTTTGAGTGTTTTTAAAAGCTATGAGCACAGGGGTGAAAAATAAGGTAAAGGCGGCAACAATTCTTTATTCCGCGTAGGCTGCAACAGGTCTCGTATGTAAGTTAATGGGATATAATTTAAAAGCTATGAGCACAGGGGTGAAAAATAAGGTATAGGCGGCAACAATTCTTTATTCCGCGTAGGCTGCAACAGGTCTCGTATGTAAGTTAATGGGATATAATAAAGAATTACGGCTTTTTGTTCTTTCTGTACATAAAGTGTATATATTTTCAAAACGAATCATATTCTCGAGCAAACAATAAACAAACCATTTATCTGATTTCGTTGCGGATTCATTTTTATAGTAGTTTGGACGGCCTTGTTTGCACAATATGGAGACTAAAGTCTAAACAAAAGAAATATATATATGCGGAATATGTCCGCGTGGCATGGTCGTTTTTTGTACCATCATTTTGTTCTTTCTGTTTAAAAAGTATATTTATTTTCGTAATAGTCACCTTATTCCTTAGCAAACATTTAAAAAGGCTATTTATCTGATTCCATTGCGGATCCGATTTTGTACAAGTTTGGAGGGTCTTCAAAACCCAATATGGGTACCAAAGCCCTATTCAAAACAATATGTCTGAGAGATTTCTGTCGGGCTTGGTCGTTTTTCAACACAATATTTGTGAGCCATTCGTTAGAATACCATGTGTCTGGTTTCGTTGCGGTTTCGATTTTGTACAAGTCTGGAGGGTCTTCTTTATCCAACATGAGGACTAAAGTATTAACCGAAGCAATATATTCGGGAGATTACTGCGTGCCAGGTTCGTTAGTTCGTATCAGCGATTTCTCTTTATGTATATTAAGCATATATCGTCTTCATAAAAACAATATTCTCGAGCTAATAGTTAAACCATCATTTGTCTGCTTTACTTACAGATTCGATTAAAAAACTAGTTTGCAGAGTCTTTATTGCACACTATGATGACCAATAGCTATGATGAACCTAGCCCTGGAGATTTTTCCATGGCGTAGTCGTTTTTAGCACTGACTGTTTGTGTCTGTATATGAAGTGTATATATTTTCGGAAATTAAAAACATATTCTCGAGGCAACCGTAAACAACCATTTATCTGATTACATTGTGGTTTCGTTTTGTTATTTATTTGGAAGGTCTTCTCTGCACAATATAAGTACTGATGCCCTATTCCAAACAACATATACTGTATTCGAGAAATTCCTGCGTGGCATTGTCGTTTTTCGTACATGCTTTTGTGTTTTCAGTATACAAAGTGTAGACAATTTTTGTAAGAAACATCAATTTCAAGCCACAAGTTAAAAAACCATTTGACTGATTATTTCGGAATAATAAAAAAGTGTACAAATGTTCTTAAAAAACGTCATATTCTCGAGCCAGACGATTTGACTGAATTCGGTTGTGTTCTTGTTTGAAGGGTCTTCTTCACACAATATGAGGACCAAACCCTTATATCGAACAATATGTCCGAGATATTTCAGCATTATTTGGTCGTTTTTCGTTTCGGCTATTTGTTCCTTCAATTTGCAATAGTTTCGTCTCCATCAGATAATATGAGGACTTACGCCCTAACCCAATCAATATGTCCGATAAATTTCTGCGTGACATGGTCTCTTTTATTTTTTGGCTTTTTGTTATGTCTGTACATAAAGTGTCTAAAAACACCATATTCTCGGGCCAAACGTAAAAAACACCATTTGTTTGATTCCGTTGCAAATTCGATTTTGTACTATAGTCTGTCCAACAAAATGTGAATATTCCAGTTTTTTGTTAAATATAATAGTAAAATCATTTAATCAATATTTAAATGTCATCAATAAAAAGAAAAATGAGAACAAAGTTGGTGTCAAAAGGGTCATTTTACTAGCAAACTAATTATTGCGTATTAAAATAATCACTTGAAGTGATACCACTTTATAATTTCAGACAAACAGCACATTTTTATAGATCTACATGTAATTATGTTGATATTCTGTGGTGTTTATATTTATTTTTAAGAGAAATAGAGCAATGAAGTGATTTAATTAGATAGCTTATCACACATGTCAATCAATCGCGTATCTTAACTACCGCAACGCGTCATAGCCCAGCAAACATTCCCATATCGGGCCGATATCGGCTAGATGTCGGAATATAGATGTCGGTTTCCGATATCGGGCCGATATATATAATTGCACTGTTAAGTATTTTTTCCAATTATTGAGTATTCAATGGATTATTAATGTTAATCCATTTAGTATTTCATATTGTAAACTTATTACAAAGTGTGCCAGTCGATTGATCAAAATTTAATCGATTTCGTTTGCGATTTGCACAATAGCGTATTTTACCGCCGCACCGTTCATCCGGGTCTTTTAAATTCTGGCGCGATTTGGAATCCAACGGCGAAACAAGAGATCTGAAAAAAATCAACCTTTTATCTGGTGATTTCATGTATTTATTAAATACACTTATTTGGTTGTATTAAAGAAATGAGTGCTGTTGATATTTAAATATAATCTTGACAATATCGTAACACAAACGTGATTTAACTTTTTGTAATGTATTTTCGCGACAAGCCTTCTTTTTCTTCCGATATTGTACATAATCACACTCTGGGGCATTGTCGTACATAGCCTGTTTTGCTATTTTGAAGTAACTTTATCGTCTAATAAATGAACAGTCAAAACATTATAACTACATGTATAACTAACCACAAAATAGTTAAGAAAATCAACAGAAAATAGGTGAAACTTTACTTAGTTTCGTTCACATTTTTTCAGGTGA